AATCTGTTCTGAGAGATCGCAAATAAAAAAGGTGAAATCCCTTGTTGTGTCCGGCTTCCTCATTAGTCGTTACGGTGGTCAGTAACTAGCCATTCGGCCCGCGGACATTGCATTTCCCACATTTCTATATACAACTTTTATACTATTTAAAATGTTTGATTCATTCGCGCGCAATCACCTGATTACATAAGTTCCTATCCCCCAAAATTCTTTGGCTCGTCCCCCCCACAGGGTCCCTAACCAAGTGTCTACATCAGCGCCATTCTGGAAGGTTTTTGAACTGTTATTGACAGAAAACGCTGGATACTTTTTTACATTTTCTCCCATAAGAGATGCTACTCCTTACCTCTACCCTCCATAGGTTAGAAGTAAGGTGAGGATTCTTCTGTTAGATTCGTAATTTAAATTTTGTTCGTACGTGACGCTAAAATCGCACATGCATTGAAGATAAAATGGTGAAGCATTTTGACAGTGAAACAATATCAATTGTCATTTTTAAATAGTAAGAATAGATTGACTTGCAAAAAAGAAATTATCTAATTATTAACAAAGGAAACTTATTCTATAATTTTAAGAAAGAATATTAACGCTATGGAAGTGTATAAAAAAATTTCTTAACACTTTATTAGAGGTTAGAAATTAAGAGAAAAAGATCATGTAAGATAATATCCCAAAGATAATAAAACATAATGGAAATTAATGAAGATAGTGATTTGAGTGATCTACGATCTGGCGTTTATACATTCCCTTCGAGTGTACAAAATGTTATAGATCAGGTTTGTGCTCTTATTTATTTCTAACTTTTATACTCTATTAACCTTATAAATCAAGGTTGACATCTATTTAATTGGGTATTAATAACATTTGAGAGCATATACAATACATGCATAATATATATTATCTGTCTTTTGTATTTATATATTGTCTATTTTTTATTAATTAATAGGTATTATCCAGCGATGATCCATTGGATGAAGCTAATTTCACAGTCGTTAATTATATTAACTCTATATTTCCAACCGAACAATCTTTGTCTAATATCGATGATGTAATGAATGAGATGGAACAGAAAATTGATACTATTGACAAAGAGATGAGCGCTGTTGTATGCGGACAGACAAATATAGGTCAAGACGGTAAAGCGGCATTAGAAGATGCTCAAAAAGTAATTAAACAATTATTTATTCATATTAAGGATATAAAAAATAAAGCGGAAAAATCCGAAGATGAAGTCCAAGAGATCACAAGAGATATTAAACAATTAGATTTCGCTAAAAGAAATCTTGTAACTTCTATAACAACATTAAATCATTTACATATACTTGTCGAAGGAGTTGACACATTAAAGTATGCATTTTATTTATATTTATACTCTTTGTACTTTAAATTTTTATTTAAAATATTATATATTATATATTTATGTCTACTTTTAGAATATTTATACAGAAAAAACAATACGGAGAAATTATTAATCCATTACAAGCAATGACAGAAGTCATGCAACACTTCGATAGTTACATGGATATACCAGAAATTAAAAAATTATCAGATGAAGTAAGATATTTTATATTATATTGTTAACGTAAATGTATATAAAATAATTTTCATTTCTTTCTTTATTTCAGGTTCGACAAATACATGTTGAATTAGCTCAACAGATTACAACAGATTTCAAAGAAGCATTTTCCGGGCAAAATCCAAAATATTTTAATCAACTGACAGATGGATGCGTAGTAATATCTTTATTAGATCCAAAAGTAAAGTATGTACTATTATCCCAATTTTTCTAATTACAAAAAAAATAATGTATATCTAAAAATAATTGAAAACAATACAAAATTTAATGTAGGAAAATTATATGCTAATAATTTTCTTTCTTATTTTTAATAGGAAAGATCTACTAACATGGTTTATAGATATTCAATTAAAAGAATATGCACACTTATTTGACGAAAATCAGGATTACGCATGGCTAGATAAAATAGACAAACGATATGCATGGCTTAAGAAACATTTACTTGACTCTGAATCTAAATTCGGTACAATCTTTCCACCCGATTGGGAAGTATCTGAACGTATTGCCATTCAATTCTGTTCTGTTACAAACGATGCTTTGACCAAATTGATGCATAAAAGACGTGCAGAAATAGATGTCAAATTGTTACTCTATGCTATTCAAAGAACAGCGAATTTTGAATCATTATTAGCTAAACGTTTTGCAGGAAGCAAATTATCTACCGATAATACTGCAATATCTACTGAAAATGAAAATTCGACTGTGAATAATAAAGACAATAAAGGATCTGGAAACCCATTTGAGGAAGACGAACAAGTAAAATTAATTTGATTATTTTTAATATTTCTTAAAATATTTCTATAGTAATATAAAAATTTTTTTCACACAGGTGGAATATCAAAAGTCAAAAACATCTCATTTTATAAACCTCATAGGAAAATGTTTTGAACCATACTTACATATATATATCGACAGTTTAGACCGTAATCTAGCCGATTTAATGAATAAATTTGTATCTGATTCTAAAACTCAACCACTAGGGGGAAAAGATTTTGATGATAATGAAGGCTCCAACAGTGTTCTATCGTGTGCTGAATTATTTCTTTTCTATAAAAAATGTATATTACAGTGCACACAACTTAGTACAGGAATAATAATGCTGAACCTTACTAAAACTTTTCAAAAATATTTACGAGAATACGCCGTGAAGATACTTCAAAATAATTTACCTAAGTTAGTAGTACTAAATATTTATCAATATACTAATTTTTAAGATTCTCTGTTAACTATCTTGTTGCTCATACAACAAATTTGGATACAGAAATGGAAGCAGTCTAGGAATTAGTACGAGTATGAGTAGTATAACACGAGATTTTCGTGGTTTATCAACATCCGGATTTATACAAAATGTTCAAAATTTTTTAAAAGAAGGTGAAAGTACGAAATTTTGTAAAGAAGAACAAGCACGTATTTGCTGGTAAAAGTGAATTAACATTTTTTAAATATTCAAAAAATTCTTGCTAAATAAATGAACATTTAAGAATCTTTTCAGCATTTTAACAACGGCAGAATATTGCTTAGAAACGACGCAACAGTTAGAAGAAAAATTACGTGAAAAAACAGATCAATGTTATGCGAAAAAAATTAATTTATCTCAAGAGCAGGATATCTTTCACGAGTACAGTATTTTTATCTCATATTTTGATATTAAAAATTGCAAAATTTTACTAAACTAAATGTAATTTTAAACATTTGCCCTTAGTGTTATTTCAGAATGTATCTTGTTACTCGTTCAAGACTTAGAAGCAACTTGCGATTCTGCATTAACTGCAATGACCAAGGTACATTAACTAAACTTAATAAATAAATATAATATTCTTAGAGTTTGTTAATAAACTTGCACAGATACAATATTTAAAATATAAGTATTTGTTTAAAGAAACAAACATAAAATAATCGTATTCCTGTTTTCTTTCAGATACAATGGAGTTCTATAGAAACGGTTGGAGATCAAAGTAATTATGTTAATACAATAGTGGTACATCTACGACAGACGATTCCCACGATAAGAGATAGATTATCTTCTTGTCGGAAATATTTCACACAATTATGCGTGAAGTTCGCAAAGTATAATATTTTTCTAATACAGGAATTATTTAATATTTATTTATAATATAATTGTATTTATAATTTAAATAGAAATTTTTATTACAGTTCTTTTATAACTAAATTGGTGCAACAATTATATAAATGTAAACCGTTAAGTGCAGTAGGTGCGGAACAATTATTGCTGGATGTTCATATGCTGAAAACAGAACTTTTAAAATTACCTTCTACTGGCTATCAAATTCAGAGAGAACCACCAGCTTCTTATACAAAGGTAATATATTCATTTCAAAACAATTATTATAATAAATAATAATTTTATTTCGTAAACAGATTGTTAATAAAGGTATGACAAATGCTGAAATGATTCTTAAAATTGTCATGTCGCCGAATGACTTTGTAAAAGAATGTAAGATGCACCTACCAGATTTACAAGTATCAGAATTTCAAAAAATCTTAGATATGAAGGTAATGATCGTTCATATAATCAGATATCACTACGATATATACTATTAATTTATCTTCATTATATTTATTTAGGGTTTAAAAAAAACAGAACAAATTCAATTAATAGAACAATTCAAGCAACCAGAAAGTGCAGGTTTATCGTTAACTTCGAGAAATAGTACCATTCAAGAAAGTCCTGAGCATGAAGCAGGTCAAATTAAAAAATTAGAAAAACTTATTAAAAAAAGGATGTAAATTACCTACTTTCCCTTTGTTTTTATGACCGTATACTATTTAGATAATTAAGGGTGAAAAAAATATTATAATTTCAAATACATTTTATTTTGTTATATATTTATTTTTTAAAAAAGAACAAGATACACATAAATTGAATGTATATGTATATATGAATATGCTATAGTGAGCCTTGAATGTATATCTTGAGTACTCAAGCATCCATTGTTACAAACGTATATAATATGTGTGTAACTGAATAAAACAAGCATATTGTACAAAGCTCTATTTGCTTGATTGCTTTCTACAATATGACGATTTTTATAATATAATATACTTATAATTGCATATCATCGTCATCATAATCATCATCGTCATCATCATCATCATCATCATCATCATCATCATCATCATTATTATTATTATTATTATTATTATTATTATTATTATTATTANTATTATTATTATTATTATTATTATTATTATTATTATTATTATTATTATTATTATTGTTATTATTATTATTATTATTATTATTATTATTATTATTAATAATAATAATATATTATATCCATTATAGTTGTTTTTATTACTGTTATATTGATATCAATATTATACTTCCTTTGTAAATATAATAGCACACATTATCTCGTAAAAATAATTTTGATAACATTAATAAAATTTTACATTTCCTTCTTGGGATATTTCAAAAATATAAGGTCTAGTTTAAACTCAAATTCAATGAGAACTTCAGCAAAGATTCATTATCAGTATTGTTCAATTTAAGAACATCCTTATTATATTCCTCACTCTATATGATAATATAAAGACCAATTTTAAGAACATACTGATAAAATTCAAAACTTAAAATATATGCCGAATGAAAATATTTCATAAAATGTCTTATATCACTAAAAAGTATAATTATAAATTATTTCTCTTCCGATAAGTCATAGATTTTTTTTTACTGTTAGTGAAAGATTAAAATCTAGAGCAGTACTCATTTTGGATATTAATATAGACTGTGTACATATTATATACAAAGAATAATTATAACAGATTAGTATTCAAAATTATTATATATCCATGAATTTAAGACCATATATATTGTCTATAAGATTATTTCTTATAGTTGCTATTTTACACTGTTCCAACATCTTCTGGATCATAGTTTTTCATCCTCTTATTGTACGCTATTATTTCCTGAACAGTGAAAAAATTAATGAAGAAAATTTTTAATGAAAGATTTAATTTTTTTTTAATTCTTTGTTCTAATTTGTATTTAAAATGTACTGAACATTCAAATTAATTATCTTTTAAAATTATGTTTTATCCAAAAATATATTACATACTCTTTCATATCTAACTCTATCTTCTTCAGCAATAGCCATATATTTTGATTTAGTTTGTAAATCGGTTGTCATCCAAAGTTTACCCAATTCTTTAGCAATATCACCAACACCCATTTCCGGATGCAATTCTCTCATCTTACCACGTAATTCTTGGCAAAAGTAGAAAAATGCTGAACTAATAACAAATAAGTAGAAAGCTTTTATATGTATCTAATAAAGATTAGAAAAACAAAGAACATAGAATGTGAACAAAGGTATACATACAGTGCACGCTTTGGAGCATCCTTGTCTCTATATCTCTTAGTTCCTCTACGTGTTGGTTTCTCAATTTCTTCATGACCATAATGTCTATCGTAGTAATACATCTTTTTATTGCAATGAGTCCCACCTTCAAGGTGAACTATCTAGTAATATACATAAGTAAATCAAATAAATATTTATTAAAATCATATAATTAAACTAAAGTTAAATTATCGCAAAGTTAAACTCACTTCATTTTTAACCGGAACAGCATTAATAATAAAATTTTTATTTTGAGCATTAGACCACTTTGCTTGATTGGATGAAACACCAGAAACACTAACAGGCTTCATTACCCCGTCACCACATTCTACAAAAGTATAATTGACTTTTCGCAAATTATATATATGTGAATATGTACATATAAATATATAATAATTAAATAAAAAATGAAATATAACTTACCGGGGGGTATATTTCCAGGATTAACAATCATAGTATCTCTCATTCCAGAATTTAAAGAATTATCAGGATTTTTAGAAAGATATACATTTTTTCTATCATTAGACTCCATGACTGCGAAGAATTTTATCTTAATACGTCCTTTATAAAGATATTTATTTGTTTAGTTACCTAAAAATACTTTTTATATTTATCCTAAACTTTAATCTTACTACTATGTACCACCTTATGTTTCTTTTATTATTCTTATTTCATTAGCCTGATTACTTACCACACAAATAAGTATTATTTTAAATATATACTTAATTTAATGTCATGACACTTAAAAACAATATTTAAAATATTTTTTTTTTATTCTGAAAAAAACAAATAAATAAATACAGAATAAAATAATTTAACAACAAGTATTACAAATACTACCTATCAAATTATTTATTAATAATTT